TCGTTGTTGGTACACCACTTGTTCTTATTGCTAACAATATCATGCCTCCGGATCTGACATTTTCAAGTAATGCATGACATAGCAATATCATTTCGATTCCACGCGGAGGCATCTGAAAAGGATAATCTCGCTATACCAAGATCGATTTTTTATAATATAGTCTTGAAAGCTTATTCTGGTTCAGGATTTAGCTTTGATTGTGCTTCCTCAAACACTTGTATGACCTTCTTAATATTATGTTTTTTTTAACTTGAAAAATAATTTTACTCATACGATTAATTTAAAAATAATTTAATTGGATTCTCTTCCTAAATAATTAATTGAAAGATTTAATTATTTTGTTTTAACATAAAATATAATTTATTTTCTGTTGAATTAGATTCTTAATATTAGTTCATCTCATATTTGAATATTTAACCGTGATTATAATTTTATCCACCATAAATCTTATTTCAAAGAGTAAAAAGATAGATGGCATTCCTCTTTTAGATCTTTATGTTTGCAAAATCATTAGTGGTGTTGCCTCTTACTAACATTTTTCTTTTTTTTCTCACACATTTATATTCCTAAAAAATTTCTTAGTTGTTCTTTAATAATTGAGTATAATTTTCTATATTACACGAAAAACTAATAATAATTTTTTTAATTTGAATAAGAAAGCACTTCAAATATAATATAGTAATATATTATCTTGGGGATTTTTTTCTCAATTTCAACGCTTTATGCAGTCTTTTTAGCATTACTTTTATTTTTTTGGTATTGAATATTATAAAGTGGTAATGTATTACCAATATGGAAAATTCTTATGAAATTGATTTTATTAAACCTTCCTACATATTTTTAATAAGAATTCAATAGACAAGATTATATTGATTTTAAAATCTTAAACATTAAAAAAATTATATAGAAGTTATTGTAGTCCAAAAAATAAGTTATTACAACTATGTTCTTTCCCTATAAGTTCTTCTATTTAATATTTTAAGCCTATTTTGGTCTATTAATATTATATTTGTACTTTTATAATAATATAGACTCTCCTATTTCTAAATGAATTTAAATAATATAATACATTTTCAAATTAAATTAGTAATAGGAATTTTTAAGAAGTATATCCTAAAAGTGATAGTATTACAAGACTAATATCTATGTCCGAAAATAATTATACAATAGAATTCCTAAAGGTAATCATGTTGGATCACGTGTAGTGTTATGTCCTAAAACTAATAGGATACAAGGCTAATGTCTAGAATTCTGATTATGTTCTTTTATTATATTGTGAGTTATTATGTTTAATATTTAAAGGTTATTGTTTTGTAATCTAATATTTTATTTATGCCTTTATAATAATATAGATATGGATATAGTTATATATAGATAGATTTTTATTTTTATTTTTATTTTTATTTTTGCCTTATCAGCAATGGTTACTCTCCATCCGCAAGCTTGGGGCCAACATGCCCATGGAAATCGTCTACATTCTTTTCGTTTTATTCAGAGAATCGCTTGTTAAACAAACGCAAAAAAATAATAAAAAAGTGGAATACAATGATTAAATTCAAGTGCTTAATGTACAACTTCGTATCAGTAGTTATATTATGATTGTATCAGGTTCTATTATTTAAAAGTTGTAACTAAAGAAATATTATTAAAATATTTTATTATGCGTTTGGTAACCAATGATAGGCGACCTACTTTTTTTCAATTCCATGGATATTAATTAAAATTCATAATATGTCCTAAAAGTAATAGGATTACAAGGCTAATATTTGTATTAGAAATAATTATACTAATAAGATTTCTAAAGGTAATCATGTAGAATTCTTAACGTGTAGTATTATGTCCTAAAACTAATAGGATTACAAAGTTAATGTCTAGAATTCCGATTATGTCCTTTTATTGTGAGTTATTATGCTTAATATTTTAAGGCTATTTTGGTAATCCGACATTAAGATTTATGCTTTTATAATAATATAGATAGGTAAATTAGAGTCCCAAGCAAAATTAAAATACGTAATCTATACTATATTAAAAGCACGAAGGCCCTTAGCGAATTGTTGTTCGCCTTTTTTGTCCTTTTAAAATAAAGTTCTCACTGGACAAAATAGTCATTTAATTATTATCCTAATATTTAGTACTTTAAAATCGACTAAAAATTTGGTTAATAAATCTTTTCCTATTTAAACTATGTAGGAATTCCTAAAATTTAGGAATTTAAAGTCAATTAAAATTCCACATTACATAATTTTTTCCGTATTTGAACCATATAGGTAACTTGTTATCATTTTTACATGTTACTTTTCGTGGATGAAAAAGAGTAAATTAATGAAACTAAACTACGTGATCCTACAATTTTTATGCTAATATTTAAAAGGGAGTTAAAAAATGCATGAAAAACATAAATTGATTAAAAAAAAATAAAGTAGGCACGAGTTTAGACTTTAAAGAGCAATCAGGATGATCTTTTTTTTTTTTTTGAACATACTCAAATTCTTTTGTCTACTTTTATTGTCTAGATACTAGAAGATAATTAAATGATAATCTTTTTTAAATGTGAAATCTATTTTAAACGGTAAATATATTGATTAATATTTTATACAAAGGAATATGAATAGAAAATGACATATATATATGTATTTTATTTTATTTTTTGATTAAAACATTGTCTCCATTGATCATTTATGTGAAAAAAATTACATATTGAGTTTGACATCCCAAACTTTGTACATGATCATTGAGATGAGACTTTTATTGTTAGTCCTAACTAAAATTGTATATGATTTTAGAAAATCTATGGTGGGTCATATACGACATGTCTGGTTTGGCTGTTTTATCCTATATGATGTAGATTCCATCTATCCATGTTGGCGAGTCGTTTGACTTGATTAGGGAGTTCAACAAAAGAGTTGATTAGTCCCGAATGAAAGAAGTACTTCAAAAAGAAATCATATCTAATATAAGATAAATATCGAGGTAAAACTTTATAAAAAATGTTAGTAATAGTTGAATTTGGATGTCTATGTGATTACAATGGTATGAATAGAATAGAGTGGATCAAATTCTTAAATGTGATTAATATCTATCATTTTGAAACTTGTAATTTTTTATTAATTTTTATATATAATGCAAATACATCTTTTAAATATTTTTATATTATTTTTCAAAATTTATTTTCATTAACACGAAGACCACGCGCAACGCGCGTACTCTAAGACTAGTTAAATATAATGGAAAGAGTCGAGCATAAACAGTAGAGCCATAATCTTACCACCCAATTTTCCGTGAGAAAATTAATTGATACCTAATTTGATAAACAGTCGAGCCCAAATTGAATTTGTACTCACTTTTTAAGAAAAAAATTTAATTGATACCTAGTTTTTGGATAACTTTAGAGACATACACTTTTCTCTTCTTCTTCTTTGTGCTTAGGGTTTCTTCTTTTTCTTTTTGGTTGCAAAATGAGTTTATTATATTTGTTGTTATTTCGACAATTTGATGGATGAGGTTTGTTCTTTATGATATTTAAAAGCGATATTTCAAATTTGAGCTCATTTGAAGTAGATTTGGGGGTTGAATAGTACTGTGGATTGCTGAAATCCCAAGAACAAGTTACTTTTGAGAACTTTAGATTCAAGATTGAAGTTACAATGAAGAGATTGAACTGCTTAAGATTCGAATTTCTTAAGTTGTATTTAAAAGATGCAAGAACTTCAGATTTGATTTCTTAAGTTGCATTGAAGAGATTGAACTACTTGATATTCAAATTTCTAAAGTTGCATTTGAAAGATAAAATAACTTTAGATTTGATTTCTTAAGTTGAATTGAAGAGATTGAACTACTTCAGATCCGAGCGGGTACACTTTGTAAATTTATGTGCAATACAAGTATAATCTCAATGGTGCCCCAAAAGTGGGTATATATGAAATGCCCCATAGTATGACCGAAAAATATATAGTTTTACGGTTTGATGAGCTAACCAAATCTACTCCATAATTTTCATATATTATCTAACGTCGATAAAAAAGATATATTTGAGATGTAGCTTCCGGTGTGAGTGGGATTCCAGTACGGGTGACAAAGAGTTGCACCAGGCCGGCCCCGAAGTGGTGGCCCATTGGGCCAACTTGGGCCTTCCTCAGGCGACCAGACTGTAGGGATGATTGACAGGAATGGCGCAGCTCCGGATCCGCGTAGCTTTTCAGGGATAATTATATCGAATTGATAGATTTTATGCTATATTTACTCTACCTATATTATTAATTGTTCACAAATTCTACTCGATTGACACTTGTATTTGTTCAATTGTTCACCAAACTCTATCATGGTGTAACTTGTGTTATCTTCCAATTCAAAAAAAATTGCCTCTCCTACTTCATAAAAATATTTTGTTTTCTGGGTCATATACATCAAATCTCCCAATAAAAAGTACTCTTTTAAAATATTTGAAGAATGAACTTAAATAGTCGTTCACCCAATTGTTTAAATTAAAATAATAAATAGATATATAATATATGTAATTCTTATTAATATGTATATCTGTATAATAAATATATAATCTATGAATACCGGCAAAGAGGAATAAACAGTAAAATCAATGCGTCATTTGTGTAAAGTTCCAAAATATTTTTGGGATCTTTACACAAGTAGCCGACCATATTCATTATTTATTTTTTATAGTCATACATAGATCATACAATAATTATATATAATTATACATATATAATACATAAAATATAATATATTATACCTGCATCTGCTATTTTTGGTTTAAGAAATTGGGCCGGGTTAATTCTTCAATATCTTTAGCTTCCAAAAATTGGACCAAACAAGCTATAACCTAGATTGGGCCAATCCCTCTTTGCGTCTCCACATGGGCCATCTGGCTGCATTGGACTCAATGAAGATGTCGAAAGGCCGAAAGATCTAAGTCGCGTGCGGTAGGACCCGCATCCCTACTAAATCACGTGACAACGACAGCTTCTTTGTTTCTGACTTCCTTCTAGTTCTTGTAGGTGTTTGTCACTGACAGCAGCTTAACGAGCATCGGAATTTACGAGGAGGTTGAGGCACGGCTGAAAGCTAATTCCTGTAAATTTCAGATTCTCTTTACTTCCTTAAGTCTCTTTTTCTCTCTGTTTTGCTGCTTTATGTACTGATTATTTCGCATGACCCTATTGATCTCTAGTTGTGGGGTTACTAATTTTTGTTGATTTTGGTAATGGGTATTTGTTTCTCAAGAGAAAATGATTGTTTCTTGGATCAAATCAATGTTTTTTTTGGATGTTTTTACTTTTGTGATCACTTTTTTTGCTCCTGTCCTTGTTATCTGACTGCTAAAGACATCTATGTTCAAATAAGTTGGTAAAAATAATGCGACACCCACCCCTCTGTTAAAGAAATGGATTTTAGGCTTAACTTAACCCTAAAAGCTAATTCTAAGATGTGAGGACTTTGGTTATGATGTTATAGATTGTAGTCTCTTTATGCTGTCTTGAACAATTACGGTTGAATTAGGTCTAAAGTTCATTCTTTTAATATGATATGACTCATCCCTTATGTTGAGCTTCCCAATGTTTTGGCCCCACTTTATGTTTCTCCTTTTCTTTTAGTTTCCCACTCGGTGTCCAATATTTGCATTAGAGCCCCCAACTAATCCGAATTTGCATAAAGGCCCACTACAGGGGGAAGCGGAGAGGCGGAGCCAGGATTTGAAGTTTATGGGTTTTGAACTTGCCATTGAACTCATAGCACGTCTTAGTTACTGGGTTCCCAATTAAATATTTATACATATTTAATTAATTTTTTAATACAAAGAGAAAGTTACTGGGATCGTCCGAATCTGTAGGTAATACCATGCCTCCGCCCTGGGTCATCGCTTCCAAATAGGATTTTGTTCATTGTCAATGCTCGAACCCGAGACTTTTGAGTAATGGCAGAGGGATCTTATTCTTCCTACCACATACTTTGTTACTGTCCCATTTTATGTATCCATTCTTGAAATATCCAACCCTCGGCATGCTGGGATGTTAGACTTCAACTTCGGTTGTGAGGGTATGGACTATAGTATCTTTTTATTGTCCTGAATAAACCTCACTTGTTGAGCTAGTTTTCAGAGTTTAGTCAAGTCCAAGGACCATCTTTTTAACAGAGCGTCTGGTAGGAGTTGAGTCAATTCCAAGGTTCATTTTCTTAATAGAGTGTGATGGTGTGTACGCAAAGGCGTGAGTGCATCCACACCTGCTGTCCCCAATACAGACCGGCGCATAAGTTTGAATTATTAAAACCCCCTTGCAGTGTTTAGGATTTTGTGCATCAGTGTTCCTGTGCAAGTCTGATTCTGCAAAATGCACAAACTAGGCCGGAGGGTGTCTTATCCACACTGCAAACTAGTATTCTTCATCACAAGTATAAACTTGAAAAGAGGGCATACATTCAAACTAGTAATAATCATGCATGCGTAAAAAACTATGAAATTCTGTTCTTTAAATACTCACTTCTCGTTCTATTAATCGTTATTCGTCCATAAACAGCTATGAAATTCCGACAAGGGAGAATAAAATAAGATTTTTCTTCCCTTTGCCACCTTATCTTCTTTCTTCTGTAAATTATGAATTATCCTTGGCTTTTTAGCTTGTCGCCTAAAGTTCCAAGGGGTGTTCTAAAGTTTGTTTGAATCATGGCCCTGTACTTTTTGTGGAAATTGGATAGACATGCTGGGATTTATTAGCCAGCATTGTTAGCCTGCTCTGCATGAGTAGGTATGTCTATGTTGTGTAAAGAAAAATATGCTAGTATTTTTTTAGCTTACTCTTTTTACGGTGTTGCTTTATTCATGCAATAATGCTTGTCCTAATATAAAATTTTTAATTCCTAATAGTAATAATAATTGGGGGGGGGGGGGGGGATTAACAGTCTCCAGTACAAGAGCAATTGCTCATTAGACAACAAATGAACAAACATCATAAACTCTGAGTCTTGTAAGCTGAATATCATTTGATAGTTGTCTTTTATATGAATGAATGATTTAAGAATCAGTGTACTCCAGTGTTTGTAAGAGGCAACATCTCTTGTACGACGGTGGTGCTCGGGCCAGCTTGTGCACACCTCAACTATTCCCTCGGGTACCTGCTATCTCCTACCATCACAAGTACCATGTAGTTCTGCCAATAAGGCTTAGGCTGATCGGAAGAAATCACCTAGTAAGCATCCAACATAATCCCAAAGGCATCATAGTTCTCTCCGCTCAATTGACCTTATTAGAGTGGGAGGGACTCCTGGTCATTCTACCCGTAGTGTTATCTCATATATGAAGGCTCGACGTATGGTCGAGAAGGGGTGTTTGGCCTATTTGGCCTATGTTCATGATTCTAGTGCTGAGGTTCCTTCTATTGATTTTGTGCCTGTTGTTCGTGAGTTTCCTGAGGTTTTTCTTTCAGACCTACCGGGTATGCCACCCGACAGGGATATTGACTTCTGCATTGATTTGGCTCCGGGCATTCAGCCCATTTCTATCCCGTCGTATCGTATGGCCCCGCCTGAGTTGAAAGAGTTGAAGGAGCAGTTGCAAGATTTGCTTGAAAAAGGTTTCATTAGACTAGTGTTTCGCCTTGGGGTGCGCCAGTGTTGTTTGTTAAGAAGAAGGACGGATCGATGAGAACCTGTATTGTTTTGGTGAGAGAGTGTTAAAGCACGAAGGGTGATGCCGTGTATGATTTGTGAGGAAGAGTGTAAAGCACGAAGGGTGATGTCGTGCCGCACGATGTACAATTCCGTGCCGATTATCTTGATTATATGGTGAGGACGAGAGTAAAAGCACGAAGGGTGATGCCGTGCAATTTATATTGATTCTTTGGTGAGGACGAGAGTAAAAGCACGAAGGGTGATGCCGTGCACTTATTGATTCCTGATTCTTGTTGATGACTGAGATATGGTGTACCTTTTATTTACCGGCTGTCTTTCTATTCTTAATTGATGTTCCCCGCAGCATGTTTCCCCTTCCCATACTTGACTGTTACTCAGTACGAGACCAGATTCATCGACTTGGCCCGTCATGCTCTTATCATACTTCTCACCGAGAGAGAGAGGGTGAGGAGGTTCTTTGAGGGACTTATCCAACCTATTCGACTTCAAATGGCCAAGGAGACGGGGAGTGAGATTTCTTTTCAGGAGGCGGCCAATGTGGTCAGGAGAGTTGAGATGGTTCTATCGCAGGGAGGTAGTCCTGCAGGCGTCCGCAGGCCCTGGCGTCTCCCTCTGTCCCTTCATCCTGTTTCATTTACGTATTTCCGAAACAGTGTATTGTTATCTTTCAGACTTTGTTTGTAGTACTCTTAGACCGTCTGTGAAGCTCTGACTCCAGTTCTGGGTAGTCTTGTTTAAACAGTTGTATTGGTTATACTCAGTAGTTTTATTGTTTTTCTTCCGCTTGATATAAATTCCGCTATCTTTAAGTTATTGCTCATAATTGTTAAAGGATTAAAATGGGAAAAAAGTAAATTGATCAAACAGTCGGCTTGCCTAGCTCACAGTAGGCGCCATCACGACTCCTGAGGGCGGGAAATCCGGGTCGTGAAAATCACCTAGTAAGCATCCAACGTAATCCCAAAGGCATCATAGTTCTCTCCGCTCCATTGACCACTAGGACACTCTTGGGTGCACAAGCAGCAACGTTTTGTAGAAGGAAAAAAGTGGCACTGTATTTGCTTTTCTTTCAATCAACAATAATTTTATTTAAGGATCAATTTATAGGTATGAGTAACACATTCAAACCTTCAAAGATAAATTTTAAACTCAAAAAGGATATATTATAAACTTGGAGTAAGCATGGTGAAAATTAGGACTCATTTTCTCTGTGTTGCGTGGAAAGCGAACTTCTAATAAAATCTAAGACTTAGTAAACCAAAGAGAGGAAAAACTGCATTTAGTTTCTTTCTCTGTTAAAGTATATATGAATTTTCCATTGTGAAAACTAAACCTCGATCTGAAGTCGGTTTCTCCTATATCCAGACAAAGATACAGCTCTTAAAAGTATATCCAGACAAAGATACAGCTCTTAAAATCTTAGGCCTCAGAAATTGAGCCTATGCACTTGAAATATGTATGACTTATCAAAAAGGAAAAAGAAGTGACTTGAAATATGCATCGTACAGATAGACTTGCTGTGATATGAAAAGTGTGCCAAACTGAACTTGTTTGTTTAGACTACTAGTAAAAAATTCAAGATAATTGGAATTCTGTTATAAAGTAGACGATAGAGCCAGTAGCGAAGTAGAATGAGTTATAGGGATGCTGATCCAAGATGTTTTTAAGACAAATATTACTATTTTCCTCTTAAAATAGCTTGGGAAGTCGTTATAAAAAAAATCACTGGGGAAGTGTTGATACAATTGGTTCAATTCTGTTGGGTTCAGGAAGCCTCTCTACCAATTCAGTATTTAAGAATCCAAACTTGAAGTTCGTCTTGTAGCCCAAACTTGTGAAAACTTGGCCTGCATATACTTATTAAGTTAGAGCCCCGTAATAAGATGCTGCTAAGCATATTGGGCTACCACTGGCTTGGATTTTGGTTTGTTGTTGTTATGCATGGTATATCCAGGGAAAAGTTGGATGCTTACAACATTCCATATCCTCGCTGGTCATGACTAGTAACACATACTTTATCAATTGATCATGAATCGGGAATTGAATGGCATAAAGAAGGTTTGCATTCTCTGTTACTCTTACTCTATCTCTGCATGATTTTGGAACCATCAATTAGATGTGGCCTGGTCTAGGAGTTTGAGAACCACCATTAAGATTTTGTGCTCATCCTCCACATGCTTATTTCTATTTAGTGGAAAAAATTTCGTTTGATTATGGTTTGTCGTGTTACATATTAGTTTATCTCAATTCATCAAACAATTCTATGTAGGTGCAGGTATGTCGACTATAAGTGTTCCTTCAGGCTGTTTTCTCAAAGTTGCACCGTCAATTGGATCCTCTGCCTTTACCAAGTATCAATGCTCGTTGGGTTCCGTAAAAAGTATTTCTAAAGCATTTGGCTTGAAGTCATCGTCTTCCTTCAAAGTCTCTGCAATGGCAGCATACAAGGTGAAACTGGTTGGGCCCGATGGTAACGAGACTGAAATTGAGGTTTCCGATGATCAATACATCCTCGATGCAGCAGAGGAAGCTGGAGTTGAACTGCCTTATTCATGCAGGGCTGGATCTTGCTGTACCTGTGCAGGCAAGTTGGTTTCTGGTACAGTCGACCAATCTGAAGGTGCATTTCTTGACGACGATCAAATGGAGAAGGGTTATTTGCTGACTTGTATTTCATACCCGAGATCTGACTGTGTTATTCATACACACAAGGAAGAAGAGCTCGTTTGAGCATGTTTGTTCATTTTGCTTCAAGTTGGGACCTTGAAAATTGAGAGTGGTACAATTGTGCCGTAGACGCGGAAAAGAAACAATAAGAAATAAATGAAGAAATTGGTATGCTGCCTCCCAGATGGAGATATTTGTGTCTGGTTTATAGCATGACGCATGTTGGGGTTATTTATCAGAGTGTGGTGTTTGTTCCTTTTGGGTTATCTTTTATTTATCAGGCTTGAACAGGTTATCAATCTTATGAAGATCATACCATATTTGGTGGACGGTGGTCATCTCAAGATTGGTCTTATGTCCTTGCCCCTGAAGGGCTTATACATTAGTTCTCTTTCTGTCCTAACATCTTGCTCATTTAAAAGCAAAATGGGGAAAAGAAAAAACCAAAAAGAACGCAAGAATTAATTAGGCTAAAGAAAACAAGATGTGGGCTTGCTTGTCAAATCTAAATATTGGTCTTGGTTTAGGGTTGCATGGAATCAGTCCATGATCATATTCCCTGCATTATAGTTTATGTGAACCTTTTTCGAATACAAGGGTTAAACCGACTAATTTTCGGTGTGAATTTGGATATTAAATTTTTTATTTTTTTAAAATAAAATTTACATATTTAAAAACTATATAAAAAGTACTATAAATCATACTTCCTCTGTTCCAGTTTATGTGAACCTATTTCCTTTTTGGTCCATTCCAAAAAGAGTGATACCTTTCTAAATTTGAAAACAATTTAGCTTAAAATTCCAACTCTATCCTTAATGAAAAGCTTTTATAAGCGCCCAAATACTACATAAATTGGATCGGAGGGAGTAATAGTTAATAATTCAGAATATTTAAAAAATATTTCCAAAAAAAAATGTGGTAAAAAGTTGTATGTAACTCCCCAAATAATAACATTATCACATAAAGTAGAACATAGGGAGTGTTTCAATATTTGCTAATACCCGTTTGCCTATCCGTATTTGAAATAGCAATGAAATAATAAGGACGTGTTTACTAATACTTCAAGTGAAATAATAGTAATAGTAAAAATTTGCTGGTGAAATTCACGTTGTACATAAAACTTAATTCAACTTTAACTATTCTTTTTCAATTTCATCATTCTGTACTCTACTAAACTTCGACTAATTTCTTTTAAAAAGCAGCAAAAGGCCTAACCCCTTTATGTAGTCATCTCCACTCAAAGGGTGGCTTGCTATTGCATTCAAAATCTCGTTGAGATTTGGTTATGTTTTGATAATTTGATTGCTCGTTACACATTTTTCATGACTTGATCGTGCATTTTATTATGATTGGCACTAATTCATATGCAAATCATTTTTGGTGTTTGGTTGACCATAAAGTTTGAAAGAATGGAGTGAGATATGATATAATGGCGGTAAGTAGTAATGTTTTATAATATTGTTCACATATTGATTGTAACAAGCTAGTGAATAAAAGAAGCTAGTTGTAGAAGAAATATGATAATATCAGGAAAAACATTTACGGAAAAATATTTTGCATACCAACATAGTTGAAAACAGGAAGAAAATAAAGGGGATAATTAACCTTCTATTATCGATCTTCTACTTGTTGTTTCTAAAGGCCAAGCTAGAATTTTTAGTTTATAGGTTTTGAACTATAATATTTCTTTAATTACTGGGCTCTAATACGTTACTTTTACCTATTCAATAAATTTTAAACACAAATATAAAATTTGAATTGAAACTACTGAGTTGAGTTCTGCCAAATCTATAAGTATAAAGTTGACTCCGCCCTGATTGTGTTCCACCTCTCCTAATTAGAAAATTAAATTGGTGTATCACGACTGATGCTACGACTGACAGTGTAAATTAGACAAGTAGGATATTAGGCTTTTTGCGGAGACGCTCGGTTTGACGATGGTTTTTCCGGGTTATAAATTTTTGGTGACGAGAATATAATAATTTAATCACGTAAAATCCATTAAAAGAGAAAGCATCTTCTAACCAATATTTTTTTCTTAATCGAATGTCAAACTTGAGATATATCAACTCCAATTTCTTGTTTAGTTTTTGATTGCATAACAGACAAACCCCAGCTCAATCATTCAACGTGGCCAATATATAATCTTTCACCTACTTTGAGAATATCTTTCGTAACAACCAAAAAAACAGCTAGTAGCATAACAAGCCAAACTCCTATTTTTTTAATTCTCCAAACATATAGATAATGTCTATCGTAGAAAAATAATATAAAAAACTTCTTCGATTCAACGTCCCAAAAACAAGTTCAATTCAAAAATAAAAAAGGAAAACTATGACTCTGACCTTCGACGGGTCGCCAACCGCTTCAGAACCGGAGAACCGGCCGGTTCAGCGGTCCCTACACTATCCACTCCTTTTGCTCCAGACCGGATGTTCAGTGCAGCCCTCACCTTTTTCCAGAACCCGGTTCTTATTGCCTTGTCTTTCTTTGATTTCGACCGGCGGATCCTTCCGGTGCAGGTCACTTTTGGAGAACCCGGTTCAGTTACTCGCATCATCATCTTTCTTACCGGTTCAGACCGGCTTCTAGTGAACCGAAATTTTGACTTTGCCACCTTGTTGACCCGAAGATTTCCATCGGACGAGAAAGATTTTCGAGTTTTTGGGAGTGCAAAAAATGATGTATTTGGTTTTTGGTTTAAAGATGAGAAAGAATGGTAAGACAAGAGTGCCTTGGAATTTTTCTTGGATTTGCATGAAAATGCAAACTTCATTGAGGTTTTCCTTTGCATGGCTGCATTTTGATCAAACCAATCACGTTCTGAATCTTTAGAAAGCCAAAAAGAATCCGGTGGATCATGATCAGAAAAGTTCGTCGGAGAATTCTTGACATGTTCTTTGCCTTGAATGTTAGGGTTTGCTAGATGAAGATGCTGAGACATACTCATGAACTGCAGTGACAGAATCTAGAATTTAGACGTTGTGACTTTTGAATTGAGGGTCTATAATTGTTTTTCGCACATATACATATAAAAAGGATCGAAGCACTAAACTCTGCCAAACCCGTAAACTTGTGATTGGATTAGCCACTAATTCAACGTGTTATACTTATGGTTACAAAAAGATAATTGAATCTTATTAACATAAGCGAGAATGAGCGAGGTCTTGTCAAAAGTCAGGCCTAGCCGTGGTCCTTGCAGCTTTTCCTATTTCGGCTTTGAGCTGAAAATATTGTACAGATCAAAAAGGAATTCAAGCTTTCTGGCCTTTCAAGCTCTCATATATACTTTAAAGCTTGATGGTTTCCTAATTCTTTTCACATAGAAAATGTTGTTGATATTTACAAAAACTTCAACCTTCGAAGGGGGAAGGCTGTATGAATGTGTTGTGAGAGAAAAGATGGATAAAAGAGTGAGATATAAAGGGAAGAAGAGGGAGGGGGTGGGGTTGAGGGGTGGGCAAAGGCAAGTGCTTTAGGCCCCACAAATTTGGAGGGCCCATTTCTCAAGAGTTTGACTAGATGTATAGTTAGTACTTTGTTATATACATAAAAAATATTTAATTAAGATAAAAAAAAGTACTATAAAATTTTGTTAAAAGAGGAAGAGAATTTTTGTGTTTATAACCGACGTGGCTTGTGAGGAAAAAGAGGTAATAAAATCAAGATAATTACCCTAAGTAGTGAATTATAAATATTTACAATCAGGTTAATTTCATTGTTCTAGCTTTGTATTTTTATCTAATTTTTCTATTATTTTTACTTGCTAGATATATTAATAATTATATAGTCCTTCTGTTCATTTTCATGCGTTCGCTATACTAAAAGTATATTAACTTTTACTTGTCTATTATGTCATAAGAGATGTACAAAGTCAATAGTGAACAAGTAAAAGTGAAGGGAAGAAGTATACTAAATCAAGAGAAAGACAATCTTTTTTCTTTTTTACCCTTATTATTAACTACTCATTTTCTAAATCATTTTCAAGACTTATGAAAATGCTATCATTATTATTGATAAAATTATAATACTTTATTTTTTTTTCTTAAAGAGATTATAAAGTTAAAAATGAACAATTAAAAGTGAACAGTAAGAATATAATTTTTTAGAATAATAATAAACCCTATACTAAAGTCGTCTTGATGGGGTTTCATAGTAGGGAGGTGGTAGAAGATTGGTGTTTTCTTACATAGAAAGTGACAAGAATTCATGATCATGATCATGGTTGTTGCAATAAATGAGTCAATGACAGAGACTAGCGTTAATTACCAGGACAAATGGGATATTTTGGCTCGAAATGTACATTAATTAAAACATTATTTTTTTGTTTGAAAAGGATATGTTTGTTGCCAAGCAATCATGCATTGGAGAAAGTCTTTGCAAAAAAAGGTGGCTGCATTTTAAACGAGGTACTCGTGTTCTGTTTGTTTAAGGATTCAATATAACTGGTCAAACAAAAATGAAAACTATGTTTTTTGTTTTGGTTTTTGGTTTTCGGCTAGCCATGTGTTTAGCATGAGGTTGTAGCTGCGTGTTTTTATATATATATATATATACACACACACTTTAACTCTGGTGTATTTGGTATGATATTATTGTAGAGAAACAGATATATCAAATGTTACCAAAAAATTTAGACAAACAGTAGTTTTGATACTATGTAGTGCAAGTTTAGGACAGCTGTCCAAACTGCATATTTGAATGAGCCGTACATATTTTTGGATATAAAATAGTCATCAGATTGTTACTATTTTCTTATTTACTCATTTCAAAAAGATTGACAACTTTCAATATTTTCTTAATAAGAAATATTTATAGCCACACGAAGTGATATGACAGATTTCAAACCATAAGTTTTAGTTACCAAAAAAAAGTTAAGGTGGGTAACGTGTACTATAAAAAGGTCAAGTTATCGTTTTGTACAATGACAGTATATTGATTTTCCATATCATCATATTAGTTGACGACGTACAATAATCGATAACTCTTTATAGTAAACCTAGAGTAGTAATATATTATATGCCAATTAAATTACGATAATAATGTAAATAAATTTTATTGTCAGTGCATATAACTTAATTTAATTCATTATAAAATATCATAGAAATAGTGTTTGATCATCCTTATCGATGGCATAAATCATTTCTCCTGTTTGGTGTAAAATATTTTCCTCTAAGAAAATAATTTCTTCAATTAAATCAACTATACATGCACCGTACGTGGAATAGTTTTAGAAAGAAATTATATAAAATATTTGACTACCTATGGGAATCTTAGGGCCTGTTTGGCCATAAAAGAAATTTTATTTTTTCGAAAAAAATTCACTTTTTTCAGAATCAGTGTATGGTCATGGAATTTTCAATTTTCACTTAAAGATGAATTTTAAAAATTTTTAAAAATTTGAGAAACCCCAAAAAAATATTTTTTAAAATCTTCACTTCAGCACGTACAAAAATTCAAAAACAACCCAAAATTGTATTCATGTTCAAACACAATTCTAATTTTTAAATACCATTTTCACTTGAAAAAAAGTTCACTTCTTTTCGAAATTTTACAATTCTTATGTCCAAACGCCCACTTATTTTAGAATACCTGTTCAATGCAAATTCCTTCTCTAGTTGTTTTTTTTTCTTCATAATTTTCTTCTTTTAATTTATGCACTGGTGCTTTATCGAGTCAAATATTATGAACTAAACGTAGATGCTGCAATAATTACCAAATTTCCCACGGGGCAAAAGTGGAATGGTCCTACTGTTCTTTTATATAACGTAAATTAGGGAGACTGGAAGTATGAATTAATATTAATATGGTAGGACGACCATATCAATATATTTATAAACATGAAGAAACAAATTGGTCTTTCAACCGCGTAACGCTCTGGATACTCTCCTTTTCTCTTTGTTTAAGGAATATTTAATAAATGTGGAAAAGGTGGCTTCATTTTTAACTAGAATATTATATATTTGCACTTTCAACAATGGTGCATTTGGTATTTATAAACTAAGGAAGTATTTTATTAATCACTTTCTGGTGTTTTAGGTTGTAAGTTAGGTAGTTTATACTAGGAGTAAAATGATATTGGGAATGTGATAAGGGAGTAGTAATGTGCTGGTTGAAATAACTAAGTGATATGCATTAAGAATTAAATATATACGCAGAGGAAAATAACTAATTACGTGTATATATTACGCAAGTGATTAAAAATGCGCAAGTCATTTTTCGTCATTTGATTTAAAAATTTGACGTTTAAGAAAACAATTACTCACAAAAACAATGTCAAATAATTTTACCAACAAGTATGTTTTAGAAAGAAAGAATTACAAGAAAATACACATAACTTCACACCATAACAAAAAATAGCCCATGTTTTTAAGTTTTACCCGACTTAGCCCATATTGTATATATTTTGAAAACACTAGCTCTTGCAAATTCAAAATCTATGTTCTTACAACCATTGCTTCTAAAAGCTATGGAGTTAAATTTGTGTTCTCACAAGCATTGCTTTCACTCTCTCTTCTTCTCACATTTTTTACATATGCTTCAAGGGACCGTCCGCCATTACTGCAAAACCAAAGGTTGGGAAAAGACTGCTCATCTACCTTGCTGCCTCAGAAGTAGCGGTAAGTGCTGTTTTAGTCCGTGAGGACCAAGGTAAACAATCTCCGATCTATTATGTCAACAAATCTTTATTAGATACAGAGACGCGGTATCCTCAATTAGAAAAGCTTGTACTTGCATTAATCATGGCATCTAGAAAATTAAGGCCTTATTTTCAATGTCATTCTATTGCTGTAGTAACTGCTCATCCATTACGCAATATATTACACAAGCATGAGTTGTCAGGTAGGTTAGCCAAGTGGGCTATAGAATTAAGTGAATATGATATCACATACCAACCTAGAACCGCGGTTAAGTCTCAAGTGTTAGCAGATTTCGTGGCTGATTTTAGCCAAGAAATGCAATTGGAAGCAGAAAAAGAATTGCAAGTGTTCAACAGCTCTAATCCGGGAATTTGGACCTTATTCACTTATGGTTCTTCTAATGTGAAGGGTGCAGGCTTGGGAATTGTTTTGGTACCACTTACGGGTGAAACCACTCGACAAGCCATTAAATGTCATTCTATAACTAACAATGAAGCAGAGTATGAAGCTGTAATTGCAGGTTTAGAACTGGCACGGGAACTCGACATTAATCAGATTGTAATCAAAAGCGATTCGCAGCTAGTGGTTAACCAAATGTTGGGGACTTATACAGCCAGGGAAGCACGAATGCAACAATATTTAGAGAAGGTACAGGATCTGATCAGGCAATTCCAGACTTGGAAAGTTATGCAAATATCAAGAGATGAAAATGTCGAGGCGGACGCCCTAGCCAATCTCGCATCTGCAGCAGACGTGGCAAGCAATAAAAATGTTTCCGTAATTCATTTGTTTCATTCAGTGCTCGATCCAAACAAAAATGAGGTAAATTTTAATAACTTAACCTTGGATTGGATATCGTGGGTCCACTACCACAGGCAAAAGGACAGGTAAAGTTCTTGCTCGTACTCACTGACTATTTTACTAAATGGGTGGAAGCAGGAGCATTCAAACAGGTATGAGAAAAAGAAGTTAGAGATTTCATTTGGCAGAATATCATATGCCATTTCGGTGTGCCAAAGGAAATCGTGTGTGATAACGGCCCTCAATTTATAGGCACGAAAATCACAGAGTTCTTTCAAAGTTGGCAGATCAAAAAATTACATCCACACATTATCATCCGGGGGGTAATGGGCAAGCTGAGTCAACAAACAAAATCATTATCAACGATTTAAAGAAACGTTTAGAGGAGTCCAAAGGTAATTGACCAGAAGTGTTACCTTGTGTTTTATGGGCATACCGCACAACAACAAAAATAAGTACAGGAGAAACACCATTTTCATTGGTTTACGGAGCTGAAGCTTTAATTCCAGTTGAGATAGGAGAGCCAACTACAAGATTTACACAAGCATCAGAAGAGTCTAATAACGAAGAAATGCGCATAAATCTTGATTTACTTGAAGGAAAAAGGGAAGCTGCACTGATAAGAATGGCAGCATAAAAGCAGGTCATAGAACGATACTACAACCGAAAAGCACGCCTAAGATTCTTCAAAATTGGGGACTTCGTGCTCAAAAAGGTTTTTCAATCTATGAAGGCAACTAATGCAGAGAAATTTAGTCCAACATGGGAAGGACCCTATAGGATTCATGATATTGCAGGTAAAGGAGCATACGAGCTGGAAACAATGGATGGGAAGATACTTTCACATTGGAATGTTGTTCACCTGAAGAGATACTATTTCTAAGGAATACCCACGGTTA